CCTGGTGCAGGAACAGCTAACCCTGATCCCAGAGGCTTCCCTGGAACAGCCTTGCCCTGGTGCAGGAACAGCTAACCCTGATCCCAGAGGCTTCCTTGGGACAGCCTTGCCCTGGTGCAGAACAGCTCTCCCTGATCCCAGAGGCTTCCCTGGACAGCCTTGCCCTGGTGCAGGAACAGCTAACCCTGATCCCAGAGGCTTCCTTGGGACAGCCTTGCCCTGGTGCAGGAACAGCTCCCCCTAAGCCCCAGCTCAGCCTCCTGCTTCCCCAAGCGACACCAGCCAAAGCCCCTTCCAGGTGAACACACCCCACTCCCTCCAGTGGGATTCAGGCATTTCCCTCTGCCACCAACAGCAGCTGAACGCCCCACAGCTGCACAGCACCAGAAACAGGCAGAGAAGAAGCTGGAATACAACTGAACACAGCTCTCTTTACCACTCCACAGAAAAGGGACACAACAAAGATTCATAGTAGAATACACCTTGCAATTTAAACTAAAAGGAAATGCAACATTAGAATGAACCTGGCACTGTAACTAAAACAGAATGCAACATTAAAATAAACCCTGCAATGTAAACTAGAAGGAAATTCAATAGGTCATTCCTGGCTTTTTTTTTTGTAATAGTGTTCCATCCTTTATAGCACATATCCAGCACAACCATTTCCCAGTTTCATTCCTAAGCTCTTCATAGGAGTTAAAAAACTCCCTCTCCAAAAACACTGTCAGACAAAGCTGAGCCCACAGCTCCTGGACACCAACACAAAGAGCCAGAAAAGAGGATTTTGACAAGAACCCTGAGCTCCAGCTGAGCCCTTCTCCCCAGCCCAGGGAGGTGCCTCCAGTCTGAACCAGCAGCACTGTCCGGTGTTCCCAGAGCCCTCACACTGCTCCCATCTGCTCCTGCTCACCAGCTCCTCCTGCCCTCGGCACACAGCCCCTGCCTGGCTAAAGCAGGATGACATTCTGTGGGAATTCATGCTGCAACTGGTGGCAGCAGTGAAACTGCCCTTGGGAGCAGCCACATGAGCTGCCATGGTGTTCATCCCTCCCGTGTCCAGCTTTGGCACCGGTCCCCAGACAGAGCTGAGCCTGCTGTGCTGCCCTCTCACCACACACTGACTTCAGGGATGTCTCTGACAGAAACCTTTCACCTGAGTGCTCTTTAAATCCATATTGGAAGGAAGTTGGATTTTGCCAGTGAGAAGATTCATGTGACATCTTCCAGTCCATGATATCCTCTCTCCTTTGCACAGCTCCCACTCTTGGAGACAAATGGTCCAGTACCAACAGCTTTTTTTTTTTCTGCATTTATCTCTTTCTCTAAAATGCAAAGCCTTCTCCCCTCCTGGTCAATAACCAGGTCTGTAACCACCCAGTTTAAACTCCTCCTGTGACAGAACTACAGATCTGACAAGACAGACTCATAGCTAATGATGTCTCCCAGGAATTCTGAGATTTAGGGATATTCTTGTTGTAAAAACATCTTTTAATCTTCCCCAGAAGATTAAAAACAAGGCAGACTAGAATAACTGAGAACTAAAGAGCTGAAGTTAAACCTGTGTTTCTGCTTAGAAGCAGCAGAGCAGATGTGGGTTACCAGAGCATGAACATGAGGTGAGGGAGGCAACTTTCAGATTTAATAAGTCATTTAATTTCTCAACCTTATTTCTACACAAACTGCAGCATGAAGCAACATAATTGTACCTGGAACTCCTTCATTCTGAACTGCACTGGCTGCAGAGCTGCACACTTGGTATTTTACATTTATTTTAAGTATCACCCCTCTTTAGTGCTGAGGCTAAAGCAACTATAGAACTACTGGAGTTTGCTCACTCTCCTGACAAATCAGGCACCAACTCAAATCCTAAAGAACTGTCCAGAACAATATCCCAGTTTACTGAAAATGCCCAGGGAAATTCATGCTACAGACACACACACCATGTGTGGGGCAAGTTAAAATTCTCTTTTGTTTTAGGAAGTACCTGACATTCAAGCAGTTTGCTGAGCTGGGTACGAACTCCCTGAGCTCTGAGAGAAACCCTGAGGTGATTTCCTGACCCAGCTTGTCCTGCTGCAGCCAGTTCCCTCACACCTGCTGCTCTGTCCCAATGTGCAAAACCACACCTTGCCCTCACAACAGATTTTATGGGTTTGGGAGGAGCAACCATCACACACCAAAGTGTCCCAAGTTACATCACCAACTCCTACAACACAGCCCAAAGGGCTCAGGCTGGCCTGAAGGATCTTGTGTCCAGGGAGGGCACAGGAGCCATCCTTACTGAAGGATGAAGCCAGATGTCCCTGTCACTGTGACACAACCTGACCATCTCCCCCAGCTGGACAAAGCCTCCACTCCCTTGGGATAATTCCCATGTCACCAGTGCTGACACACCTGATTTACACAAACTCTGCTCACTCAGTGGTTCCAGTAATTGAACCCAACCCCTTGAATCACCTCCCAGCACGTGGAGCTCTGTGCTGTCTGTCTGTCCCTCATGGAAACACATGGAACAAGCCAAAAGCTCATGGATCCAGCACAGCAGCAGCAGCAGGGCTTCGCTGCACTCTGAAGCTGCTGTTCTCCAGTGGGGAAATGTGGCATCCTACAGCTAGAGCATTAAATACTGCCAGGGAATTCCTGAGAGGGAGACCGTGTTGTCAGTCTGGTGGGATTTTGCTGGAGTTTGCTACAGAATCATGCAGAACCTCACACATTCCCAAGTCCAGGAATATCAAGTGCAGGTTATGTTGTCCAAGACAGTGAAACTCCAAAACTCTGTGCTACCTTTAGAGAAAGTGTCATTCAGCAGGAAGGTGTGAATTTCTGAAATTTCTAACAAAATTCCCTGACTCCATGGTGTCACCACAGAGTTTCTTAAGCTTTTCTCTGTTTTGAAAGGGTCTTCTGTCAAGTTTTCAACATGCAGGATCCATAAATCATTAGTCATGGATGGAAAATTTAGCCCTCACATCCAATAGAGCACTGAGCTCTCAGGGAGACAAATCTCTGATTTTCTTCAGTGATCACTGAAAATTCTGGGCAGAAACCCACTAACACATAATTAGCTTTTCATTCCTTTCTTAGGCTCTCATGTAGAGGCCCAAAATCCCCTAAATGTAGTAATCTCACTAAAATTTGCACGTAACAAGTCTCGGAGTAAATTCTTGACACTGGCCCATCCAAAGCCATCATAAAATAAGCATTTAGCAGAGTTCTCTAACAGTTCACACTCTCTTTCAAAACCTGACCAAGTTTGTATCATATTAGGAAAGGAAATTAATGCAACATACTCCCATTACCCTGGGTTTGCTAGTCAGAAAAACATTTGGTAATATTTAAATAAAATATTTTTAAAAAGGTTTCAAAACCTGTGCTACTGCAGGGCTGCATAAAAGCTTTTCTGTTCTATTAAAACAATTTATTCCATACATAATGTACCCCATCCTCAGAGATTTCAAAAATACACTAAAAATAGTTTCTCTGAATGTTAATTTTGTATATCTAATAGTTGAGTTTAAAACCTGGTTCCTATGTCATACAGATGGGTTGCTCTAAGTTCATTGTCTAGACTGTATAAACCTTCACTTGCTAAAAGTGGACAGTATTTGAATTTGTAACTTACACATCACGGCTTTGGACCTTCAGCAGTACAAAATACTGACTGTTTCTTCTGTGCAAAACTAAGCCTTTAAAATTGATTTCAAAGCCAACAACAGGACAGAAATTTCAAGCTGAGAAGAATGTGCTTTCCTTTCCCCTGGCCTGTGAGTCAGCAGCCAAACCGAAATGGCATTTACAATGCAGGGAACAACGAAGAGCAGAACTCAGCCAGGAGGGCACTTACCAAGGAGTGGAACAGCCTGGGTGACAGGAGCAGGGACGTTGGTAGGAGCTACAGGAGGTGGGACAGTGCCATAGAGTTTGGAAGTGTCAGTACTTTCAGCATTCCCTCTGCCTCCAGACACTACTGTTGGGATGGGATTTCCTACGGACGACTCCTTTGTAGTGTCCTCGCTCCCACCAGTGGCTGTAGCTGAGGAACAAGGCAAGGGCACACTGAGCACCAGGCAGCAATCCCTGCAGGCCCCCTGCCCTCCCCAGGCCCAGCACTCACAGTTCGGGATGTTCACTGCCGGAGTGTGCGGGACAGAGACCGGAGGGGTTATGGGAGGCGGCGGCCCGGGAGGAAGGAACCCTACGAGAAGCAGAGCAGAGAGAGCCCTGAGTGCCCCTGGCACAGCCCAGGGCAGCTGTGCCCTGCAGGGCCCGGGCTGGCCCACCCCACAAACCTGGAGGTAAATGCAGCGGGTTGAAGCCCGGCCGGAGGAACGGAGGCGGCGGCGGCGGCGGCACCCCGGGGGCAAATCCAGGAGGGGGAATTCCTAAAGGTGCTGTGAAAGCTGGGGGCTGGAGTGCACCAACCACGGGGGGCCCTGATGGATGGGGGGGAACCTGGGAAAGGAAAGGGAAGATGGGTTACCCCAAGAGTGCCCCAATGGCTCTGTGTCCCGCTGGGGATCTCTGTCCTTGTCCAGCTCCACCAGGACATCTCTGCGACCCCAAACTCCTCTGCAACCAGGGGGCACTTGCACAGAAGATGCAGGAGCACTCCAGAACTGCCATCACTGAAAACACCAACACCAGCCCTGTCTGCCTTTGTAATTAGAGAATTTTCCTCTGTGCTAATGCCTGTTGGTAACTCACCTCCACAAACCCCTCACACAGCGCCTGGGATTCACGTGCACCCAGCAGGATGGATTTCCAGACTGGATCCACTGGAATGCTCACAACTTCAGGGCAAGTAAAAACCTCTGCTTGTTTCTTTCTCACTACCTGAGCTTGCACATTAGAGTGACTGGTGTTTCCTTTTCCTTTATTTCTGCTTTATATCAAACTCTGAATTTAAATTAGCTCTGATACACTGACAAGAAACTACCGATATAAAAGTAGTGGAGTATCTGCCAATAAGAAAAGCTTTTAGAGGAACATTAATATATAAAACAAACAACAAAACAAAGCCAATCACAAAACCTGAAGATGCAATTCAGCCCTTCTAAAACAAAGATTCCACTGCAGTAATTACTCTGTGACTGAGAGAACAGAGCTCCCATTCATGGCATTCCCTCCCTCCCTGAATTATTATTTAAAGTGAGTTTTGTTTGTTTCTGTGGAACAGCTCTCACCTGTGGAGGAGGTACTGTTATTGGTGCAGGCATGGGAACAGGAATTGGGACAGGTAAAGCTTTGGGAATGGGTGACACTGGTTCATTGTGGGCAGCTTCTGCACCTCCATTCTGAGCCACTTCATTCTCTGACTTCTTGGGAATTCCCTTCCACTCTGCCCAAAAGAAAATCCCAACAGACACAGGTGAGACAAGCAGTGCCATGTGAAACATGTTTAGTCATGTTTACAAAAATTGAAAATACTCAGGTAATAAGCAACATAGAGCTAAGAAGCATTTATACTCTTTCTGACAATAAAAATTCCAAATTCATTTAAACACAGCAAATAAACTTGTTCCTTTCAGCAGTCATTTAACAATCCTTTGCACTGGCAGCGTTCATACACACCCAGGATTCTGTTACATTTTCTGTGACACAAACTGTGACACAAAGGCTCTTTGGGACAAGCTTTCAACAGGTTCATTCTATTGCTCTCAGGCAAGAAGGCAGCAGCTTTGCCACTTAGCTGAAAACTCATTTCTAAAAATCCCAACATCTTCGACTCTCAAACAAGGAAAAGGAGAATACAACTCTAAAGAATTGCAGCAAAATAACAAAAATGCCAAATATAGCTTTAAACCTAATTTATGGAAGGAATGGCCCCTATTGTCTGTCAGAACTTCCTGGGAAAAGCCAGCTAAGCACAAAGAGGGATCAGTGAGGGGGCACTTCGGGAAAGAGAAAAGCACTGAGAGGACTGGAACACACTGACATTATGCTCATGATTCATTACATTTTTGTTTAAAACACACAGCTGATTTTTGTGTGTTCAGCGTGAAGAGATGCTACAATTAGAGCACATACTCACCAGCTAATTGGGCAAACTTTACAGAAAGGTCAAATCCTGAAATAAAGGTTCAATAAAAAGCATGCAGTGACACTGTACCTGGACTAAGGGTCTCGTTGTCCAGCATTCCTCCTTCACAGAAACTTTCCAGATCTTCAGGTTTGACTTTGTCCCATGGTATGTAAGTCACACCCAGTTCTACATCCCAATACTGCTTGTAGTCTGGCTTTATTCCTTTATTCAGAGCCCAGGCAATCTTGGGTGGGAGGAAATACAAGTGGTCAGTAAAATGTTCCCATTTTCATGGATTTATTATTTCATTCTCACAAAACAGCATTTAAGGGTAAAAAGTAAAAATCCTAAGTGAAACAGCTACAGAACTCTGAAGAAAGTATTTTTTTAGGCAGACTTGGTTCCTATTTCTTGGCTTGACTCTTGCACATCATTTGTAAAAATGTATAAAGCCAGCTTCTTCTGATGATCCCCAGCCACCAAGATTAATTCCATTTCCCTTTGGAGGACAGTGTCACACTAATTTGACATTCTACAGCAGGCAGAACTTCACTAATTGATGCACATTTCCTTATTTATGAGTACTCTGTAGGATTATCATATGTAATGAAACTCTGTTAGGAGACAAATAACAGGCAACAAGAAACACACAGTGCCAGTCCCCTGCAATGAGCAAAGGGCATCCTTTTTGTTGATTAAACAGATAATTATTGGCAATCTTTCAAGGAAACTGATACAAGGTTCCACTGATCCCACTACAGACCAGGAACAGTAATTCCCAAAAACCAGTTCACTGAGGTATTTTTGCAGGATTTTACAGAATGTCATCTCCAGAACTCACATGAGTCTGAAATAGCCCAAAGCCCAGCAGAGATGAGACAGGATGACAGCAATTACAGCAGCTGTGGAAAGCCTGATGCTTTCAAGCAGTACCTTGATGGATTTCTGGTTGACTTTGAAGTTGCCTCGGCTCAGTTTCTGCAGGGCTCTGTTGGCATCTTGTCTGTGCACCATGACAATGTAGGCACATCCTCTGGGCGGTATCATCTGTGTGGGGTTTGAAATGAAATGAAAAAGTTCATTTTGTGGGTAACAAACAGTGAACAACACACAAATGCTCAGTTACAGCAAGCTGGGACACCAAGAGCTGTTCCAAAGGGGCTGTGCAAGTATGGAAGGAAATGTTAGTTTAAGAGGTTAAGAAAGGCAGTACCTTCTGGAAATCCACATTTCTAGTGAACTGAAACTTCCACAACTTCTGAAAACCTAAAAAACTCTAAAATACAGCTGACTTTTGCACATTTAATCCTTTTAAATTGCTAAACAATGGCGTTCATGTAAATTCCAACATCTGGCAATTAGTTACTTTGTTGGAATGCACAACAGTATCCCCCTTCACTCTGCCAGCTGCACCTCCACATTCAGTTCTAGCTGCAGATTTGGAGTAATTTTTATTTGTAATGAATTTGAGGAAAAAACTCCCATGCTCTCTTACAAAATTTGGGAATAGAAAGAAAATTAGTCACTTATTTTTGTTTGTTTGAATGAATGAAATTTTTGAAGTTACTGGAACAGCTATAATTTATACATAAAATATCCTTAAATACAGCAAAATAAAACAATAGCTCTCTGTGTTTATGGCTAAAATGACAGAAAAACAAGAACATCAGCTGAGAGTCCATGCTCCTATAATCAAATAAAATGAAGCAGCCAAGGAACTCAGAAGCATGGGATGTAATTCTGCAGCCATTATTCTGTAGGGAAAGCAGGATTTTTATGAAAATGGGGTAATTTTCTGTACTTTTATCCTGCAGGAAACCAAAGCAGCTCCCTTCTTGCTTGTGTACAAGTCAGCCACATGATCTGAGTGCCCACACCAAAAACACAAGACCTGGGAAATGAGAGGCCAGCTCTTTGGAATCTATCAGAGATAACTCTGCCTCACAGCAGCCTGGAGAGATGTTGTGCACCCAAACACATCCAAGCAGCTCACACTGCACCCCTTCTACTCACATTGATGGACTCAATGGGGCCAAACTCCTCCAGGAGACTTCCCACATCCTGCTGAGTTGTCCTTTTGTCCAGCTGTCCCACCCAGAGTGTGGTACTGCAAACTACAACCAAGAGTTAGCACAGGTGTTCCTTACAGCACAGATAGTCCACACCTATCCCATGCTGAACCCAGGGTAATAACCAGGAAAGGAGCTCAAGGTATCCCCCAGGCTGCAGATTACTGCAGAACCATTGAACACTCATCCAGGTTTTCCACCTGAGAGATCCAGAACTGCAAACTCTGAGAGCCAACCTGACAGAAGCTGGGAAAGGTGCTGGCAGCAGCACATCTCACAGCACTGCAGGGAGCTTCCACTGAGCAGCTCCAGGGCTGCTCTACCCCTGGGACCATCACTCACAACTTGGCTCTTGAAACACCTCAGGTTTTTGTCTCTCTTATATGAGAAAGAATGTTTTTATTTTGTTTTTACTTGATGAGAAGATTCCACATTCTCAAGGAATATTCAGGTAACAACTACTATGTTTGGTCTGTAAATGCTGGCAAAGCCAGGATTGTATCAGAAATCCAAACATCAGCCTGTGCGCCTTCCAAGTCAAATCTCCCCTTCAGCTTGGAGAGATACACAAGACTGACATACTTAGAAAAATTGTAATAATTTACAATTAACTCAAATCCATTTTGTTAATTTGTCACCTCGGACAAATCTGCTTTACCTTATATGTTTCAGAGGAAGGAAAAGAAAAACACGGGGTTTCAGCTTTTTCATATTTTACAGCCAAAATATTTCAAACTTGGAGATACTCCAGAAATGCTAAATATGAGTAAAGAAGCAGAGGGAAGTGTGGTGAGATTCCTATCAGGAATCACAAGGCAGTTAACTCTTGTTCTGTTTGGATGAGCCTTGGAGCGCACAAGCAGCACCATTGACCCCAAGGAGCACAGTGAGAACACCAGGCTCTACGGGAAGGTGCAGGGTGACCCAGAGAAGCAGAAGGGAGCACACTCACCACTGACAGTCTCTGCCTTGATCTGGGGCAGCCCCTTGGAGCGGCGCTCCTTCTCCCGCTCGCGCTCGCGCCGCTCCTGC